GGGGCTGGCTGGCATGTGGTGCTGGGGGATTGAACCGTGGTCCCTGTGCTTTGCTAAGCTTGTTCTAAGTAGGTGCTTTAGACCACTGAGCCATCTCATCAGCCCCTAAATACGATGACTTTAAAAAACCAATCATGGTGCCAGTGAGGAAGTCCCCCTTGGTGTGATGATGTGCGTCACTGTGACCCTCCTGGTTGTGTGAGTGCCATGGGCTCTCAACGTTTCTGGCGTGGACTGAGGAGCTGCACTCCACAGACAATGGCCAGCCTCAGGATCTGGTCATGGCTGAGTCCACTCTTTTCCTGTCTGCATCTGAGACCCGCCCAAGAGAGGACTGATAACAAGTTGTAAGAAGAAGCAGGTGAACTTGCCACTGTAGTTGAAGTACTTATTTTTCTTTTCTTTTCAAGCAGTTTCCTTTTCAAAACACTGAATCTGTTAAGATGAAAAACTAGGCACCCAAAGAAATTGGTAAAGGGCTTTTATGCATCATATTTCCTTGGATTAAGTCTGTCATGAAGGTTATGATAGTAAGAAGTAAAATACATCATACTTTGGTGGTGTTAATCCTAGAAGGGATTTTTCTGTCTTTGTCTGGAAAAGCTGTGTATAAATTATTTAGTGAACACCATGTACAGCAATTAGGGTGTTTAACTGTATGTGCTCTACACCAAAGACAGCAAACCCTGGCCCTTCAGGTCCCTAGATTTGTAAGTAAAAGTTTTATTGGCACATGGCACCGTTTGTTTAAGGCCTGTCCATAGCTGCTTTTACACCATAATGTGGGAGCTAGTACTGTGATAGAGACTTGATCCTAAGCCTAAGAACATAGTGGACCAGACCCTTGACTTAGGAACTTAATTCCTTCTTGAGGTGCCATTGTAACTCAAGTTGGTTGTAAGTCAAGACTGTTTTTTCCCGTAAGAAATAATGAAAATACTCATAATGTGTGTTTTTTTTCCCAGGTTTCAAATACTTTTTTTATTTACTGTATTTGATGACTATAAATAAGTGTTTACACTATGGAAAAGAAAGTTAGCACAGTACATTTTCATGACTGGGGAATGGATTTTCTGAAGTCATCTTCAGTAGGGTAAAAACTTAAAAAAACAAAACAAAAAAATGGCCTGAATGTTGGAATTGATTTCTTTATATAAAGTCCCTTGTAGAAACAAAACAGAATTAAGACTAAAAAAAGGGGAGGGTAAAATTTTAGACAAGAAGAAGAAAGGAAAAGGAGAGAAGTTAAGAGGACTCATTGCTCCTCTGACTTCTCTTCAGCTTCCTCTCCAGGGTACTTGTTCTCCCCCTTCACAGAGAGAGCTTGTAGCTTTTCAGCTACTTTTTCCGCATTATCATTTTTGCCCAGTCCTTTCTTTTCTCTCTCTTCAATTTCTTTTCTGCATTCTTCAAACTTTGTTTTAAATTTTTGTGCATTCTCAGCACTTAGGAAGCGGATGGCAAGCAGCTTCAGCTTGGGATACTCATTGGCGAGGTCAGCGTAGGTATTCCAGACCCAGGCTCGGTCACTGCCAACATTTGGCTTTAGCTCCATCATAGGCATGATATAATGGTTGACGCAGATTTTCAGGGTCTTGTCCCTTCTCATGGGGAGGCAGATGGTTCCCTTAACCTTACGCTTCAGGAGTTTGACATCACCTGTGCCTCGTTCCTTCCAATCTGGACTGTCATTCTCTAAAGCAAATTGGAACAACTTTGCTCGCATGTTAAAGTTCCTCTTCATCTTCCTCTTGCGTTTTAATTTCTTGCTCAGAAAGAGAAACTATTGGTTCAAACTGGGGGTCATGGTTGGATTCGTCTGCATTCTCAGTGGAGGTAGCACGGTCCTCATGAGTATCCTTGGCGGCTGCCATTGGGGTGCGGCGGCAGCGGCTCGGCTAGCTCGGTCGTTGCTGACTCTGTGGCCTCTACTCATAATATGTTCTAAACCTTACAAAGCATCCTTTGCATAATGGAAAAAGGTTGTATAACCTGGATAATTTACCAATAATTTGCCTAGTATGTTTACCACACAGTTGCCAGATATGCCTAGTTTATCAGAAACAATGATTCCATTCTGTATTTGCCATTCAACCTGACATCTTTGGCTTATAGCAAGGGAGAATGGAATGAAGTTGGTTATGGTTTGGAAGGAGAATCCCCTTCCGTAAGAACTCTGAAAAACAGTTTGCTTACTAGAATACTGGTTTATTATAACTACTACTACTCAGAAAGAGCCGGATGGAAGAATTGGAAGGGCAGTGTGTGAGAGCAGTGTGGAGCTCCCCTCCAGGTAGCACCTTGGCAGCCCCTGCATGTGTCCACCAGCCTGAAAGGCCTCTGACCCCTATCATGAGGGTATTTATGGGGGTTTTATTATCTGGGCACAGACTGAGTCACTGACCAATAGTGACAACTCCGCCTGTAGCTCAGTTAGGGCTGATAGCGCCAGCCTGCTGTCTCATGCCAGCCTGCTGTCAGCCAGTTCTCATCCTTACACTAAAGAGGAGTCCCCAGCCACTAGACACCTCAGCAGTAAGAATTTTAGCTCTGTGATAGTATGGGAGTGGTGATCAAATGAATTTCCTGTTATGTAACAATCTAGATTCTAGAATCTAATGTGTATTTAAATGTCCATGATTGCCTCATCAATTTTAGTAATTTTATTCATGTCAGGATTGACAATTACTGGCAGTCTCCCAGAAAAGTTTCCCCTCTCAGCTGTTCTTAAGGTTGGTAAACACCTAACGTGCTGTTACTGTGCATGGTATTTTTGACTCATCCACGTGTTTGGTGAATGGTGATTATCTGTGAATTACTTCTGGGCAAAGGTGGGTTTTCCTCAGTATAGTAGTTAGCTTTTGGCTTCCCTCCATGGGTCACAGCACAGAGTGCCTTAGGCTGGACATTACGAAAGTTTGCAAAGCATTCTTCCAAACTATTTCTAAAGAATGTAGCTTCCTGAGCAGCCTCAGGGAAGGGCCTTGTTGCTTGATATTCATTACTTTACAGAATAGTTGTTGAGTGCTTGAAAGTCTAGAAGGCACAGTGCCTGCCTGACAAATGCAAGATCATGAGTCTGGTACCTGGTACCAAAAACAAAAGGAAAGAAAGTCGGGGAGGGGTTGCCGTACTAGATACACAAGCCCTGTCTTGGGAAT